ACAGTGAAATTAAATCTATAAAAACAAATAATTATATTGTAATGCTTAAAATTTATGAAAAATAAATGTATAATATTGTAATATGAGAAAGCATATCCATAGGCAAAACGTGTGATCCAAAGAGCTTATCTACATTACAAGATTCTTTGAATCTGACCCCTGATAGGTTGCTTAGAACACTAGACTGGACCAATGCTCTAGAAATCAAACTTGAAGCTTCCCTTTTCGTTTTATAAATTCCATTCACATTAGAATTATTGCTTTGGACCCATCAAGTATGAGTGCACTCCCAAAGATTTCACATTCACATTTGAATGTAATAATAATTTGGTGGCCGAAAAAAATCTGTAGGTAATAATACGTAATTTTTTTTTTTTTTGAACATTTTTGGCAAGGACGGGTTTTGAACCCACTCAATGGAGGGGAGAAGTGCATCAACAAACTGATTAATGTCAGTGAGCCTCTAGCGCTAGGTGCAGGTAATAATACCTAATTGTATCTATTATAGGAGTAAAAGAAATGTTTCCAACACTTACCAAAAAAAAAGAAAAGAAGAAATGTTTCCAACGAAACTAGAAAGTTTTGACGTGGATATGATATCTAAGTGAAGTACAATATTTTATCCATCCGTATTTATTTTGGTTAGGTTAGTCAACTGTGTACGCAAACGAGAGAGAAAAAATAGAACGCCATAAGTTTTGTTTAGCTTGAGATTAAGACGTTACCACAAAATGTTTTAGTACTGTTTTCATTCCTAAACTTTTGGTAGTTGATGCTAAAATGGTTCTTAATTTTCTCTTAAATCATTTTGGTCCATCAACTCATTAGTTTGGTACCAAAATTGTCGTGAGTTAATAATTCTGTCAACTCTATGCATGAAAATTTTTAATTTTTCCATTTTAGTCCTTTAACTTGCATTAGATTAAAAGTTTAGTCCTCATACTTATTTTTTTAGTTTAGTCACAAATTTCAATTTTTTTCAACTTCATACCTGGACTTTAAAAAATATTCAATTCAATCCTCAAAGGTTATTTTCTATAAAAACAACAAATGTCAAATAAAATATATTTAACCTACTTAAATACTATTAAAATAGAATAAATAGCACCATATTATTTATAAGAATTCAATGTATCGAATTTGAAAAAAATTTATTAAATTTTATATGAATATGACAATTCCACGTAGGATCATTTGCTAACTTGGATAAATGGGATCCATTAATAAATAAATTATATTATCTTACAAATTAAAATTAATAAACCTATATAATGATGACATTCAATTTAGAACTTTAAAACTTCTTTTAAATTTTGATTTCAAGTTTCACTCTTAAAAGCCTCATATTTTTATTATGATTTTACTTCAATATTTCTTAATTTTTTGGGTTTAGATGAATGGGAAAGATAATAGAGAAAATGACAGTTATTTCTCCTTGACCATGAACCTATTTTGAGCTGTGTGATAGAGAAGAAGACAAGGGAGTGTGTGATATAATGCACAGCATTGGAGATGGGAGGAGAGAGAAAGTTTGTTTTGTAAAAAAATAATTTCTTTTAATAAGATTAATTGATGTAAATAATGCTTAATTATTTTATTAACTTTTAATTTGTGAGATAATTATATAATTTAGTTTAATTAATAGGTCCTACTTATTCAAATTAGCAAATGATATTGAGTAGAATTGTCACATTATTAAAAATTTAATTAATTTTTTGTCGAGTTTAAGATATTAAATTCTCATGTGTAATACAATGTTATTTAGCCTCGATTTTAATGAGATTGAATTGAGCTAAATGTGATTTTGTTTGATTTTATATAAATTTTGTTGTTTTTGCATAAAAAGACTTTATCATAAGAAACTTTAAATTTGATGGATTGAATTAAAATTTTTTGAAACAAATTAAAGAAAAAGAAGTATGAGGATTAAAGTGTCAATTTGATGGAAGATGAGCGACCAAAATGCAATAAAAAATTTGACATGCATCATAGTTAACAGAATTATTAACGGAATGACCACTTTTTATCAAATTGAAGAGTTGAGGGATGAAAATGGTATCAAAAAGAGCTTAGTGATTATTTTGGTATCAACTGACAAAGTTCAAGGATCCAGACGGTACTTATACCACAAATCTTTTTCCAATTGAGATGCTATGCTTTGACCGTTCCACACTTTCAAGTACATGCGTAACCAAAATATTACTTATAGTTTTTTTTTTTTTTTAAATATTGAGTTTTTGAAAATGAATTTTACGTGGTATGGATTGATACGATTGGCGATTTTTAAAAATAAGTTGCGTAGTTTGAAATATATTAAAATAATTTTTAATTAGTAAATGAAACGAAGTTCTAGGAATGTGAGGTTGTCTTTCCTTTCAATATTTAATTCTTTTGATTTATAATTTCATATAATTTAAATTAAAAATAATATTATAACATTATATATATATATATTCATTTAATAATACATTATTATTATTAATTTATATTTATATATAGTATTATAATTATATAATTGCTGAATTTAAAATGCAAATACA